CACCCTCTCTGCCCCCCCAGCCGTCCGCTGTGTGCAACTTAATCACGCACAACACGTTGCTGTCGTCTTTTTTGGGCTTCCGAGTCGAGACAATGCCCTTCAAATTTCTTTAAATAAACGTCTCATTATTAGCGCAAAATGTAACTGCCACGCCCACACACACACACACACACACGTGCCATTTCAGTTCCTCTTATTTTTTTTTTGCTGTCCATTTCGTGCACCTGTTTTTTTTTTACCAAGATTTTTCACTGCCGACATGTGTCCAATCAGTGGCAACGTGCAGCCAAGCATGACATGACCCCAGCCCCAAATTCCGCAACTCACCCCAGCCCTTTCCCCTCGGACAGTAGGATTTTTGCAAAATTTGTAACATTTTATTTACACTAGAGGGACACACAGAAAGGCAAAGATAGGGACGGGGTATAGTACGGGGTATGGCATAGCATGGCATGCTCTTATTTGTCCTGTGTCAACATGCCCCCTGCATATAAAGAAGCAACAACAACAACAACAACAGCAACAACAACAACAACAACAACTAGAGAAAAGTTCAATTTCAATGCTGATGAACTGATGTTTCTTTTGGGCAAGCTCGTATTTTTCTTTTCATGTTTATCTAGCGTTCAAAATTTATACAATTCCAAATGGGCTAGATAAATATTTGGCAAATGTCCCACACAAACACACACACACACACGATCTAGACCAGGCCCACTGAGGCATGCCAGCTAAGGTACAGTTGCCTCAAAAAAGCTGACACAAGTGGGAGAGGGAGAGAGAGAGAGGGAGAGAGAAATGAGCAGGAAGTTTGGGAATCGAAGCTCCATTAGGTGTGAATAATCAAACCAAATACTTAGAAATATTTAAGACTTATCTGATTTAAAGAAAGTTACTCTAAAGAACAGAAAACGAGAAAGTAGGGATATCTTCAGCTTTAATAACCTTAAGAGCTTAGCTTGGACCGTTTCTACCCATAGAACTATTCATTATAATATTGCGATATTGAGAAGACTTGTCTTGGTCGAGATATCTTGATAGCCAAAAATGATTTTTCAAACAGAAACCTACTTTTCCATGACAGCTATATAATATATATGTGGTCCGATCCAGCCGAATCCTACAAAGTTTTAAGACTAGCCTTGAGTCCGAGAGTCTGCAGAGAGACATAGAAACAACTCGGCTGCTGATCTAGAACATCTCATGACAACATGATTAGATCCTCTACAAGAAACTTATTGTCCTCTAAGAACAACTTATTGTCCTTTCAATGCTCGACTAGGTCCATACCCTGTTAGCCATGCCTACTCCCACATCAAGCTTGCATCATATGTAGGGTTGTCAGATACTCATTAAAAGCAATCGAAAAGAAAACATATTCCGTTCTTTTTTGCTGAGTCCAAGCAGATTTTGAAGCTCGCAGTTAGAAGGTATTCAAATAAATTTCCTTCGAGCAGCGAATGCAACTTTTTCGATTTATTAAGCCGCAAAAGTTGGCCCAAAATCGTACCATTAACCCGCTCGAGCCTCGGCCCCGCGTTTAGTTCATTGGAACAATGTCGGGCCAATTTATGCACTGCCAGCTCAGAGCATAAATGATGTGAAATGGGCTCCGGCTGCAAATATGATTGATGAAGTCATTTTGGGCGCCGCTTAGCACTTGCCTTAACCCTTTTTGTGAGACGATGGCAAGCCCCTGCAAGCGCCTGCAACCCCCTTTTGTGGCGCTGCTTGAAGTTCATTAAGAAGTTTGGCACAACGGCAAATCGCCCTAGCCCAAAAGATGGCGTCGTGACATGGTGGCAACTCTCAGGTTCATGGGGTTGGAAAGTTAGCTAGCTGAAAGCATTTCGATGTTGCTGTCCCGGTTTCTACCCTGGCCAGGTCGCCGGCCAAGAAATAGAAGTTTGCAAAGTGCTCGAGACAGGTTAATGACCAAAAACAGTTTTGCATTCAAACGAGACGAGCCGAGCAACTGGAGCTGAAACTGGATGGCAGCTACAACCCTGGACCAAAGGGCCAAGGGTTGTCATGACAAACGAAAATCGTATTTACAACATGCAATTGCTGCGTTCGAGGGTTGCTTTATTCGGCAAGTCGAGCATTAATTACGCGCTGCGCAGTTAATGAATGCGCTACCAAAACCGAAGCTGGGGTTGGGTCTCTGCGTATCGGCGATAAGGGGTTAATGTCTGCCATTGTTTGCGCTCAAATTACCAAGAAACTTTCTGACGACGCGAGCATGACAACAATTTTGCTGGCGAAATTCATGCGGTTTTTGCAGTCTCTTAACTCTTTTGGGCAACTTTTTCATTAACCCCACACCGCCCCCGCGCGCATGATGCAGCGGAATTGAATGAAAATGGGCAATGCGAATAATACTTGATTGATTTCATATTAATTTCTATGAAATTATGAATGTTTCGGTCAACGACAGTTGTGGCCAGTTAAATGTGCGCTTAGCACAAATATGATAAATGGCCTGTAGCACAAAAGGGGTTAAGGGAAGTTTACAGTGGGGAAATTCACATGTTTCTGCGAAATTGAAATTCACATGTACTTAGACTTAGACTTAGTATTCACAAGGAACTTAAACTTAGTTTAAAGAGAAGGGCAAATCAAATCGAAATAAGCTACGAACTAGATTAAATATTAAGCAAATAGATGTGCTTCTTCTGCTCTTTTCCTATATAAACCATATGTGGGGTAGGCAGTCTTGCTTAACTCGGGTATTCATCGTCCGATTGTTACGAAATTGTCTGCATAAAGCTAAAATCCAAGTAGGATAAACCTAGTCTCAATCATCAATCGAGTCAGGCAGAGATATTCCAGAACTTCATCTACTTCTGTCCATTGATAACCCTCCGAACTGAAGTTAACCCCACTTAGCAGCCCCTTTCCCCCCACCCATCCCCCTCATACAATCACACACACGTACCACATAGATAACAATAATAACGAGTGCAAGAAGAGTCTGAGCCGAGCAGCTGGAGTGACATTTCTGCGTCTATAAATCCAATAAGAGTTATAATGCCTTGCAAATAACATAAATATCAATATGAAGGCACAATTTGAGCATGTTTGTCTGTGTGTGTGTCAGTTTTTTTTTTATTTGAGCGCAAGAATGGGCATTAAATTTTATTGATATAAATTTTATTTTAATGGTCAGCATTGCGGCCGGGATAACATGAATGTCCTATTTAAAGGATTAACGCCTTGAATTATGAGCTGCCCATTCCACAATAAAATAGATCCCGTGAATTTGCTTTTTAAGTTAATTTTCTTTTATGTGACTGCCTACAGAACGCGTTTCGTTTTTTTAATGGTGATTTATATCAAAGTTTTCGGCTACTGGTTTTTTATGTATACCCTGTAATCAGGAAGTGGTAAAGTTGAAGGGCTTTCGTAACATGTTCCCAGCTTCTTTCTTGAACTTTTATCCCATCAGAACTCTCTGTGTGCCCATTGATCTCGGGAATTATAAAAGCTAGAGACTCTGAAATTGTTATGTTGCCTCTTGTATACTCAAAATATGCATAAAATATTCTATTTGCTTTTGTCTTCTCTATTATTAACATATTTTAGATATTATTATCTTATGATACCCAAAATTTGCCTACATTTAGACGAGAAACTTCAAAGTTCTTGTGGAATCTAAAACTCCCAGCTGCTGATGCAGGGCAACTCTCAGTCGACTAACTTTTCCCCTTCTCCTACTATTTTAGGTTGTTTTTTTTTTTTGGGGACTTGTCGCTTTTTTATGGCACCCACACGCCCATCAAAATTGACAAATGGCCGCATCCAGCGACTGGCTGCGGCCATTAACTAGACTTGAACCGGCTAACGTGTTACATATTAATTGCACATTATTTATCGTGCGCATTACGAGCTGCTCGACAATAATTTTGGCCTCGATTCGATTTCGTTTTCGATTTCAAACTAAATTAGACACGAGACGCGAATCAATTTCAAAGCTCATTGAATTTCCACGCAACAGCGATTGCCGTCAGAGCCCGCGCCCCACATCCAAATCCAGACCAATCCCAGCCCAACTAGTTAGTAAATAGATAAGTCCTAAATCTCAAGAGCAGTCGCCAGACGCGCGACGCTAGTGAGGCTTCTTTTGGCACAATTGCAGTGCGCACTTGATGAGCACATCATATTGATATCGGTACATCAACTGGTCCGAGGGTTAAGGTCGTGCCAATAATCATTAAAAACAACATTTTGTGTCCCTTTCATGCAATTTCTTTGGACTGCGCTACAAACAGCTGAGCATTTGGGTTCCTATGTCAATGTTGGAGGCCATTTAGGTATCAGGTTACTACATAAGTCCATATATATATTGTGCTGGATACCATGCAGATGCCAGCAGATACCATGCAGATATCACATGGATACCAGGAAGATACCACTTAGATGTTCCGAAGATACCGCATAGATAGATGCGCAAGACGCCATGAAGACACTAAGCAGATACCACTAAGATACCTCCTAGACACTTGTTAGATATATAACACGTAGACATCATGTAAATGCCCCGTAGATACTACAGAGATACCAAGTAGATATGAGGTGGATACCAGGTTTATACTGGATACTATGTAAATACCACGCAGATATTACGAATGTGCCGTTAAGTTATCAGGTGGATACCACGTAGACAACAGGAAGATACCTTAAAGGCACATGCTATGCACATTCGTCGTGGATGTCACATGGATATCAGGAAGATGCCAGAAAATACCATGAAGATATCCTAAAGATAACACATAGATGGCATATTCATGGCACGAAGATACCACGTAGATACCATGAAGATATCATGTAGATGCCAGTAAGATATCCCGTAGATGCCATGAAGATACTAGAAAGATACCATATAGACACCAGGAACTTGCCTAGAATAAAGCAGAACTCATTTCTTTTTAAAACTTGATATCAACTGAAATTTAAATATATATATTCTATATGTTCTTATAGATGGACCCTTTTACAGCCGAGACCCTTTTAACGCGTAGCGCATGCGATAATCACTTCAACTTCGCCAAATAAAACAGTTCGTTTTTCCTTTTGACAAGATATTTGTATCTAAAATCTATTAGACTCAGGCAGAGTCCCGTTCCGCACCTCCCCTCCCCTCCCCACACACACACACACATACATCAACTCGCAATGCATGCTCCATGTGGTTGGTCCTGTTGATGTCCTTGCACGTCGCCTGCATTTCTAAGTTTGCACATTTGTTGCCTTTTTTCTCTCGTGTACTTTTCCAGCTCTTCTACATATTCACAATTAATATTCAAGCAACCTTTCTGCGCAGTGTCGAAAATAGATGCCCCCGTCCCCGTCCCTGCCCCTGCCCGACACAGCTGTCCCTCAGGTCCCCCGAGTAGCCACTTGGTCTTCACGCCCGCCTTTTGATGGGGTGCGAATTGGGTTCAGGGTGCGATGCGATGCTGATGCTGATGCTGATGCTGCTTATCCTGAATATCCTGAATGTCCTGACTGTCCAGAGTCTGTCGAGTCCAGTGTTCAGTGTCCAATCTTTTGGGGTGGAAGGGCTACAGTCGCATTAAGTGTAGACATTATTCATTTTTGATGATGAATTTCCATGTCTCACATGTCTAGGGTTGCTCCCGACTTCTCTCACTTTGCGTGTGTGTCCAGTAATAAGTAATAAGTGCAGAGTTGAGCACGAAAATCCAAGGCGAGCGCTTCGAGGGGTTTGGCACAGGGAAAAAAACTTTTAGTTCTTTTGCTGTTTGGCATACAAATGAGTTAAAGTTACCATGGAATAGTTACAGTGTTGCCCCCTACTTCTTTGAACAGGGTTGCCAACCGAAGTGAAGTGAAAATGTATGCTTGCGGAATGAGGAAGCAGGGCGGCAGGGCGGCGGCATTATGTTAAGGCGATTAGGTAAATTTATATGTACATTTAGTGAATGCAGGAAAATTTGAAAGGAAAGGCAGAAAATTTCAATTATTATAAGAAATGTGCCTCGTTCCATTACCAACTATCCATTGAACATTATAATTGAGTTTGTGAAAACTAGTTTCTGACAAGATTAAATGTATTTCTTATGAATCGATTCAATACTGCAGCTTAGTATTAATATTTCGCATTCTAAGTCCAAGTTAGAGTATTTCAAGAGAACTCTTTACTTAATAAGTATCTATATTTTACTCCCTTATTTTTGAGACTCTCTTTTCTTTTATTTTGCAGTCTCAACTACTTTAAATGCCTTTATTCATATGCACACGGACACACGACCCAATCTTCTAAGGAACTTTTAACATTCAAAGTAAGAAAACAATTGTTTATTATTTATTTTATTATTTTTGAAAAATTTGTTTGCATAGCTCGGGATTTTGAGAAAGTTATGAAGGCTTAAAGTCGAGTAGCAGCATTAACTTCCAGTCAAAATATTTGACAAATTGGTTTTTTACGTGCAAAAAATGAATAGCCTTAGAATAGATTTCAAGGATAGCGCCCTTCATAAATTGAAAACAAAAACAAAATCAAGATTTTCAAAAAGTTTTCACTTTTTATGCCCTGAACCCATTCAAAATGGGTAAATAGGGTATATTGTATTTGTGCAAAATGCAAATGTATGTAACAGGCAGATGGAAGCATCTCCGATCCCATAGAGGACATATATATGTCCGTCTGTCCGTCTGTCCGTCCGTCCGTCCGTCCGTCCGTTTGTATGAACGCAAGGATCTCAGAACCTATAAGAGCTAGAGATGTAGATGCTCCTAATTCCCGCGCAGATCGAGTTTGTTTCCGATAATCGATAACTTACTCCGTTTCCAATCCAGCAATCGATAAAAATCGATATCGATATCCCGTTTTTTGGGCAATTTTGGTAAATAATAAGACCTAGAGTCAGCAAACTTGACATATAGCTTCTAAAATAGAATATATACATATACGCATTTGATGTTGAAAGAAGAAGAGGGTTCAGGGTATTCCCTCAGTCGAGAGTTCCCGACTAGAACCTCTTACTTGTTCTTGTTAAACATGTTTTCTCTAAATATCAAAATAAGCAAACAATTCATAAGATTGAAATTATGTCAGATTTATGAGCTTTTCACAAAAAAAAAAAAAAAGAAGAAAAACAAACAGACAAGAAACTCGGCAAATCCCTAGTTGGCAATTGTATTTGGTTTTGTGCTGTGAAATGTTATTGTAATACCCGAAACAGGAACTTAGCCTCGGGGCTCTGAGTCCTTCCAATAAATCTCGTGGCTCAGAGCGGAATTTGTAAATGCGAAATGGGAAATGTTGATTTTTATGCGTTTTCAATGCCAATCGCGAGCTGAGCAAAATGGGACAATGGACCATGAATAGAAAGCAATTTCCATTTCGAGTAGAGGAACAGAAAGAAAAAAACAAAAAAACACACAAAAAACAACGAGACAAATCCCCAAAATGCGATTCGACCAGCGAAATTATGCCCATAGGACTAAGGCAGAGAAGGGGGTGGGGAAGGCGGGGGGAAGGGGGAAACTGTTGCTGCTTGAGATGGAAATGGCCAAAGACTAAACGGAAAATTGCCAAACGGAAAAGTGCAAGCGAAAGACAACAGCAACAACAACAACAGCAACAACAACAAATCGCAGCCCAAAAAGAGTTTTTTCTCGGCTTGTTTTTTGGGCACATTTGTGTGCTCGTTAAAAGGCAGGGGTGTAGCTCAAAGGGGGCAGTCAGAGGGGTGTGGGCGGGGGCTGGGAGGGGGCTAGGAGGTGAGTTGAGCAACACACACTTTGTTACGTGCTGCTCGGCCATATTTTAGAAACTAATGTGACATTTCGATTATTCGATTGGATTTAATGTGTTTTATGAGTTTTACACGTTCCACGGAGTGTGCGTGTGTGTGTGTGTGTGTGTGTGCGTGTGTGTGCGTGTGTGCGAGTGTTGACAACGATGATGCCAAAGGGGATGATATGAGGTTCGCTTGATACACTGATAAATGCAAGGGGCGTGCCTCATGCTCAAGTACTTAATTGTAATTAATTGCAAATGGGAAAAAACTGCAAGAAAAATGGAAAAACGAAAAAATAAACAAAAGAAAATTTGATGAATATAAAGATAAACTACAAAATCTGTGCAAACGGAGTTTCTTCTCAGATTCCCCAAACTTTATGCTCACTTCATGCTCTTTAAAAGATCATTTTTATGCGTATCTGTTGAGAACTAGCTATTTTCTTAAATAGCGCTGGGAACATAGAAAAGAGAGGTCGCTGGTTCAACTTTAAGCTGCCTTCAGATTCGGTTCTTACAGCTGCTTTTCCATATCTGGTTTTTCATAGTCCAATTCGAGCTAGGTCCCATTTTTTTAGAAAACAGTGCTGCCACCTTTATAAAAACTCAGCATATGGCAACACCAACATAGCTGCCTTTGAGCATGTAGTTGCCAGACTTGAGTACTTAACAACACCCAACACAAAGGTTTTCTTTGGCATTGCACGACCACAATTTAAACCAAATTCTAGCAATTTCAAGAAATTTTACATAACAGTGCTGCCATATGACTAAACATATGGCACGGCGTTGCCACACTTGCCCACAATCAAAGCTAACTTGTCAATCCGATTGTTAAATAAATAATTTAGGATAATTTTTAGAAAGAGTGTTGCCACCTTGCGGAACACTTAACATATGGCAGCAACAACAAAGTTGCGCTTAGGCACGGCGTTGCCAGATGCGCCCACAACTTAAGCTAACTTGTTGTCAACCTGAATGTCAAATAATAGTTTAAAAAACAGTGTTGCCACCTTGCGAAACAGTAACTTAGCTGCCCCTTGGCATGGCGTTGCCACCTTCGCCCACAATTTCAGCCAATTTGAAAACAGATTTCGACTTAAAGCAATTTTATTTTCACTTCGAGCTGAAACAATTCGCTTTTTCTATAAAAGAGTGCTGCCAGCTTACGGAAAATTAAACTTATGGCAACACTAGCTTAGCTGCCCTTTGGTATAGTGTTGCCAGACTTTCGTCAATGTGCATGACAAATAAGTAATACAGTTTTAAGAAACAGTGCTGCCACCTTGCGGAACACCAGCTTTGCCTTCGCCTTGGCATGGCGTTGCCACCTACGCCCAAAACTTTCAGCTAAAGAGATCTTAGACTTAAAAGAATTTTACTTGCACTTCGATTTGAAACAATTTGCTCTTTCAATAAAATCGAGTTTCTGATGGAAGTCGGTTATGTCCTTTCAAAAAAAAAATATAACAATGCTTGTTTGATAGATTGGAATCGAATCGTAGTTGCCGCCTCTGTTAGGGTCTGGCACACTTGAGTTGTCGCTCGCTTTCGAGCAGATTGCGAATATGATTTCGCGTTGCCAGCGAATCGATAAAGTAGATGAAGCCGAGCATCTCCTCGCCGACCTGATCCCGCTGATCGATGCGGTCGTAGGTGACGCCGACGCAACCGTAGCGCTTCATCTTGTCCCGGTGGCTCAGATCGCTGTTGGCCATGCCCCAGGTGATCGACTGCATGCGCAGATCCCGGATGAGGCCCAGCACGAGCGGCTGCGTGAGCATCGTGTTCGTATGCAGGCTCAGCCCGAAGAACTCCATGATGTAGGCGAGAAAGGCGCCGTACTCCAGCCGATTGACGCGCTGATCGAGAAACTGAATGGGCTGCTCGGGATCGACCAGCAGCAGGACGACCGGATAATAGTTCTGCTTGTAGCGTATCATGATGCAGATGTCCGCATTGAAGCTGGAGAAGACAATGCGCCGTTTGCCGGCAAGCCGAAAGACCACATCGAGCACGGTGTCCACATAGAAGTTGCGATCGAAGCACGGCTTCGAGCTCTGATCCTGCCAGCGCCGCTTGCTGTCCTGCTGCGGCCACTTCAGCTCCACGATAATGCCCAGCTGTTCCGGTAGACCGCCCCGCTCCGCATCGAAGACATCGCTGAGCAGCGGAAATGGCAGCTGCGACTCCAAATGACGATCGCAGTCGCCGGAGCAGCCGTCGCTCGCCGCATAACGCAGCGGCTGGGCCAGACGCAGTTCGTCATAGTTGAAGCACTGCAGCGGCACAACGATGTGTTCGCCTCGCTTGGCCCCGCCCATCGAGAGCAGCCGCAGGCGGCTGAGCTGTTCGTGCGGAAAGACCATAACGTCGTGATCTGCCGAGAGCTTTTCGACGCCCCAAGCGGAGCCCAAGGCAAATCGCAGCACAAAGTCATGATAGACCACAACCTGGGCGTCTTTTGTCAAATGCACGTCCAGCTCAACCATGTCCGCATGATGCAGGGCGGCGCGCTTGAAGCTGAACAGAGTATTCTCGCGATGCACATTGTCGCCGAGGCGATAGGTGTTGCCCGTGCCGCGATGCCCGATGTCCAGGGCCAGATGGGCCTCGCGCCAGAAACGCTCGTAGGTGACGCTCAGGTTGCAGCTGATGGACTCGAGCGGTCGTATTATCAAATACGTGAGATTCATTTCGATCAGCGGCCGATGCGTCGAGGCGCAGGTAATCTTGACGCGCACCTGACCCTCAGAGCCGATCAGCTGCTCCGGCTGTATGAAACCATAGCCATAATGATACGGCGGCTCGTCCAGGGCGCACTTGTAGGCGAACGTGTACAGATCCAGCCGAAAGATTGTCTCGCGCGGATGCCGCAGCGTGCAGTGAAACAGCTGCAGATCCGCTGGGCCGCAGCAGGCGCCCGCCGGCGGCTGATAGCGCAGCTTGCACGAATTGCGTAAATTGGCCACCTCCGTGTAGGCCAGCTGCATGTCCAGCCGGACGGGCATTGTGGTGCGACGCCTCGCCACGGCCGCCGTCGACAGGCGCAGCGATTCCAAATGCCGCACACCGCAATCGGGCGGCTCCGTCTCGTACATGGGCTGCATATAGACATAGATGAGGCGCGGCGTCTGCTTCAGCCAGATGAAGGGCGCATTGAAGATCTTGAACTGGACAAAGGTCTCGGTGGTGGCCCAGCCGCGATCCACCTTCAGCACAGCATCAGGTCCCTGTTCCAGGCCAAAGTGTTCGCATCGCTTCAGCATATTGTGACAGGGCCGTATCACGCGCGGCTGCGGCATCACCTCCCAGAAACGGATGAGCACATCGTCCAGCAGCGGATCGTAGCCAACGATGCAGTATCGATACTCGATATCCTTGTGCCGCGGTATGCGCACCCGGCTCTCGAATTTGCGGCAACTGCACTGGCCCGCACAGGTGCAGTTCGCCGGATCCATAATGTACACCAGCTTCGGATCCCAGTTGCCCAGCTCGTCGCAGTTGCCGCTAATAGCCACATGCTCGTTGCCCTGCAGCGGCATCTTGATGCGCACACAAAATGGCCAATCCGTATAGACAATCTCCTTGGTCGGCTCTTCGCCCTGCTGCTCGTCTGGCGGCAGCGCCGCCAGCTCCTCCGCCGGCGGCTGGCATTCCTCGCGCTCGTTTGCAAAGAACCAGCGATGCATTCTCTCTCTCTCTTCTCTCTCTCTTCTCTCTCTCACTTCTCTGTATATATATTAAAATGCTCAAACTCCCCAAATTCTCTAGAAAAACCCGTAAATTTAATGCAACAACTTTACACAAATTGTTCACATCGATTCCTTTGTTTCATTCATTATTTTATCTAATTTGATTTACAACAAAGCAAAGTGCTCTGTGTCCGACTAGATGATACCCTGCATACACACACACACACACATCTTTTGCAGTAGCTGTGCTTCTTCTTTACCCTAGTTCCCTGTATGAAAGAACTTATTCTCGAATAACTTTGGTGCTTCTAGTCCGATCTTTGTGAAATTTTCAGTTCTTCAACAAGGCATACCAAAGGCTGTATATACCAAGGCCCAAGGCTGGAACGAGAGCTGACATGATAAAATTGAAGACTGGCTCGTATAAGCTTCGAGATATGCAGCCCCTCCACGTACTGTTCCCTATGACCTATAATAACTAATATACCCCGGCCTTGCCCGATCTTTGAACAAACAAAAAGGTTTCCCACAACAGTTCTTGTTGTGTGTCCAAAATTTCAAGTCTCTAGCCCTCATAGTTCTCGAGATCGAAGCGTTTATCGATACGACACAGACCAGAATACTTTATGAAATGAAGAAAGCCAGATGCATCCACTTGCTGCCTGTATACCCCTTCTGCGCATTATCCACAAATACAGGGTATCTGATTGGCAAATTGTGCTGCATATCAAGTATTTAAGGTTGTGCTTCTTCTGCTGCCTCTTGGTAATTGTTCCCCGAGGCGCAGTTGAGGCCAACAATACCAATTTGATTTTCAGTTCGTTACTTTTCATAATTTTCTTTTTCCAAAACGGAAAGCTGGGTGGGAGTGGATGCAGGGGGTTGGGCTTGGGGCAAATCTAATTGGACCCGTGTCGTTTTATGTTTGACATGTTGCCCTCTTAAAAAAAAAACAGCCTCACAAAATTCTATTTAAATTGTCGAAATCCGCTTAGGTTGGGCCTTTGCCATATTTGATCCCTGGGACTCGAATTGGCTCACAGCCGCTTTTGGCCACGTTTCGTGTCGAATTTCGAGCAGCTCGCAAATCGAATTGTTTAGTTTGGAATTTTGTTTTTGTTGTATTCTTGCTCTTGCTAAGCCTAAAAGCTACTTAAATCGATGGAAAATTTAGGGCTCGCTTTTAAGTAGAAGTTCGGGTCGGGCATATACCCTGTAATATTGTCTATATTATGCTTAAGCTATGTCGGGAACTGAATGTGTGAAAAAATAGTTTCCTTATTATTATCTTCTATCTTATCTATTATCTTATCTATCTTCTTATATCTTATTTTATCTTATCTTATCTATTATCTTATATTCGTATAGAGGGTATCATAATTCTGTCATCAAATGTGTAATAGAAGAAGAGTTTTCTGATCTTGTAAGCTTTATATATTCTTAATCCTTATGAACAGCAGAGTCCATAGAGCCATGTTCTAACTATCCAACCATCTAACTAACTATGTGAACTAGCTCAGCTCTGATTCGATCTTGATGAAACTTGGTCAATATTCGTCTTGTTGCTGCTGGCAGTATATATATCGGAATTGGCCGGATCGGGCCACTATATCACATAGCTGCCATAGGAACGTCCGGTCGAAAAATAAGTTCTTATATGAAAAACTTGTTTGTTTTTTCAAGATATCGGAAACAAATACTAGAATATACTAGGCTTAAGAAGTCTTATCATTATCGGACTACTGCATCTTATAGCTGCCATATGAATGATTGATCTACAATTAAGTTCTTGTTTGAAAAACTTTTTTGTTTATCAAGATAAGTTGAACAAACTCGGCATATATTAGTTCTACAATGCTGCTAATATATGATCCAAATCTTATCAATATAGGACTACAATATCGCATAGCTGCCATAGGAAAGATCGGTCAAAAAGTAAGTTCTAAAGGGAAAAAAGGATTGGTTTTTCAAGTTATCTTGAGTAAATTTGACATTTTTTAGTCTAACCGTGCTTCCTACATATAAGCCAAATCTTATCAGTATCGGACTAGTATATCTTATAGCCACCAGAGAAACGAAAGGTCAAAGTTTCTGTAAAGAGAACTTTGCTTGTTTCTTCTGGATCGAACTCGGCATTCATAAGTTTAACTGTGCTCCTTTCATATATATGCGAAATACCATCAATATAGCAGGACTATATCTTATAGTATATATATAAGAATCAATCGAAAAAAGGGTGTTTTTGCTTCTTCATTTAATTCAATTCAGCTCACATATCTGCCTAACCGTAAGCCACATGTCTGTCAGGGTATTTAATCTTCGGCGTGAATTACTTTCCCATAAAAATATGTCTCATATGCCCAGCGTTAAGCGCTGGACAGTTACCTTATTATTTATACCAAAACTAGTTATATATATTGTATATATATATATAAAGTATTATCCAAGAATCCAGCCTTGGAAAAGTTTAAGAAACTTTTTTTTATACCCTGAACCCATTCAAAATGAGTATAAGGGTATATTGTATGTGTCCAAATGTATGTAACAGGCAGAAGGAAGCATCTCCGACCCCATAAAGTATATATATTCTTGATCAGCATCAATAGCCGAGTCGATCTAGCCATGTCCGTCTGTCTGTCCGTCCGTCCGTCTGTCCGTATGTATGAACGCAAGGATATTATAGGTTCTAGAGACTTGAAATTAGATGCAGGTGCTCCTAGTTCCCGCGCAGATCGAGTTTGTTTCCGATAATCGATAACTTACTTCGTTTCCAAGCAATCGATAAAAATCGATATCGATATGCAGTTTTTTGGGCAGTTTTGGTAAATAATAAGAGCTAGAGTCACCAAACTTGACAGATAGCTTCTAAAATGGAATATATATATGCATTTGATGGTAGAAGAAGAAGAGGGTTTAGGGTATACCCTAGTCGGGAGCACCCGACTAGAACCTCTTACTTGTTTTTTGTTAATCTTAGTGTGGCGGATGTGGCCAGAAATTGTTCTAATTCAATGGGTTTGCCAACAAAATCGATAATATGCAAATATGACAAGGGAGAACTAAGAGCACACACACACACACGCACACACGCACACACGCACACACACACACATGGGCAAACACTCGTGTTGTATCTAAAGCAGCGCATAAAACAAACAAACGCTTCAAGTTCTCAATCCCAATTCCTCCCACGCACACACACACACACACGCACACACACACACACTCACACTCTCTCGCACACACATAAGGAAAATAACTAAATACGCATTAGCATCCTGTCGGATTTGCCTTTATTATTGCTGCTGTGACGACTCGTGCTAAGAAGAAGAAGAAGCAGCAGCAGCCGCAGCGGCAAGCAGAGCTTAAGCGCCGCACAGTGGTGCAAGAGCGTTGAGCACTTGACGAAATTCAGTTCCTTTTAGAGATTTGCTAGATTTAGGTTTACTAGCTTAAAGATTTACTAGATTCAAGATTTAACATATCAAAGACTTATTGCCGGCTTGCCCGTGGCCTAGTTTTGTTTGAAATATAACTTTTTCGCTTCTTTTCGCCCGTGAAAAACAAAAACTGATCTATTTGAAAATATGCTGAAATTGCATGAAGTACGTGAATGAAGAACCATAGTTCGATTCAAAGCTTTCCATCCATGCTTATTCTTACAAAAAAAAAACAATAATATTTTTAAATTTTATCTACCATTTTTATTGGCCGTAATTCGTAATATTTAAAATTGATACATTTTAAAATAAAACAAATTTTTTTTTAATTATTTTTCAATTATTTGTTTTCTTGTTGAACATTTTTATTTTTATTATATTTCCTTCATTAGAATTTTAATTATTTATTTTTGTGCAATTTTTCTGCATTTAACATTTTGTTTAGCTTAACAATTGACATTGAACCACGGTGCATGGGCAAAGTTTTAGTGCTCCAAATTGGGGGAAGGGGCAGCAAATTTCAGCGAATGTATGCAGAGTGTGACCGTAAGCATTATTTATGGAGAATGTGGGCACACACAAACACACAGACACAGACACACACACACACACACATGCAAAGGCTATAAAAGCAATAAGGACATTCATCTTCATAATTATGGGCTAGCGGAGAGTTTGGGGGGGAGAGAAAAAGTGGAGATATTCAAATGCAAAGAGAAAGTTTTGCATACGTCTGTCGTCGAGTGTGTGCGCGCATATGTGTGTGTGTGTGTGTGAGTGTGTGTGTGTGCGTGTGAGTGTGCGTGTGTGTGCGTGTGCGTGTGTGCCAGGCAGCCCCTGGCTATGGGATTTTATGGAAATGACAGTTAAGCTCAGGCCAAACTGGACGCTGGTCACACTAATGAATGCCATGCGTGCCTGTGTGTGTGTGTGTGTGTGTGTGTGTGTGTGCTTACCGGCGTCGAAATGCAATCAAATGGAAATTGTTAAAGAAAGCAAAAATGCGAAAAGGGCAAGGGGCGGGCAAGGGGCAAGGGGCCTGGCATTCCATACGCTCCGCTGCGTTCGAGCAGGGATGCGAATTTGTCGAAGGGCTGGCGGCGGGGTAGGGGGTGCGTGGCGGGTGGAGGGTGCACTGCGCCGGACTTTGCACTAATTACGCAGAAAACATGTCCGGCACGACGCGAGCCTCGAGGCAGGGCTTGCTCTGCTTTTGGCCAAGATTTTTGCTTGACTGCAATTTAAATGCGACTTTGTTGCGTGGGCGGGGGGCGGGGTTCAGGGTTGGGTATCTGCAGCAGCTCAAAGGCCATTATTAGATGGGCTTAATTCTAATCCGAAACACGTTCCAATGTCCAGACGGTCGAGTGGTGCGAGCCCGAGGGGTTGGCCCGTCGATCATTAGCGTGATTTTTATACACCCAAATTGATTTTGCGCCTCAATGGAAGCCAACTAGCAAAAATGTCTATTTAAATTAATTAAATAACTTTAATCAATTGAACTTTCCTTCTGAGAAGCGCTAATAAAGTTTAATTCAGTTCGTTTACATTTGCTTT